CGATTTGCGCTACAGCAATGTGGAGAGGGCGCTACCACTGAGAAGGCGCTCTAAAACGTTAGAGCACTCTGTCATCTTTTATTCTGCTCTGCCTGGCCTGAAAGCGTGAAATTTTTATATTAGCGACGCTAATATGGGACGGGACCACGAAATGCTTTACGGCCGATAAACGCTCTTCCCGTTTCAGGAAATTCACTAGATTTTATCGGAAAGAAATAGCATCACTACTACTGTCTATACAATTCACTCTGAATCGATGGGTGTGCAAAGGTTTTCAGTTTTAATTTGGCTACATTGGGCAAACTAAAGAAGGCTTCCGCTTTCGTTGCCGATTGACCTGGTCCTCTATGATTAGCATGTGTAGCTTGCAGGGATCACAGCAGCTTGGAACAAGGCGAGAAATGAGGCAGTGTACTCGAGTACATTCGGAAGTACACCTTTCTAGCTTCTCTTACAATTTGATCTACCGGAGTATAGGGGAATGCTCAAGGTACACATTGTCTGCACGAAGAAGATTGAATAGGGGACCAGTAAAAGAGCGAAGGATTGTGGGATGCACCGTCTGCTACCGACTTCCGCTTCTAGAAGAGCAGACGACGGCAAACAGCTTCGCCGCAAGCCTCAGATTATTCGGGATTCGCGCGTTCGTTCGCCCGTTTATCTTCGTCCTGATAAACCATGGTCGGTTGTTCAGTCGTTGGCTGCTCTAACTCGAACGTGAGAGGCAAACGCAGGTATCAATTGCCATATAATGAAGACAAAAACGAGGTCGGCCGCGACTGCAGTGGAGAGAGCCACAGCGACAGGTAGCCTTTGAGTACGGAACTTTGAAGCCAGAGTGTGCGAAAACCATTTTATCCCACACTAAAAAAAGCTTACACATGAATTTGCTGCGAATATTATATTGAGAAATAAATTGTCCCGCAGGCGCGCCAAGCAAATATATTATGGGAACGAGCGGGCGAAATCTACTTGCCATACGAAATTAGCGCCGACCATTGCATCTATATATATGACAAAAAAAAAAGGCGAAAGCTTCACTCAAGAGTAAGTTTACACGAAGCGCTGGACGAGTTCATTTGCGTTTATCTTGGTCGAACTGTGCGCCAGGACGGCATCCAAAGGAAGATGTGCGTTAAACAAGCACAGGATTTCGATTATTCGGCGCCGTCTATGTCTGACTGTATTGTTTATGTGCCGCCGTGCCGTGCAGCTTGACCAAGATCAGCGTTCAAATAAGCATCTGACTTCGACTAAGAAATGCATCTTTTAGCGCGCTAAAGGGTAGAAAAAAGTATCTCAACGCGCTCAATAAGTGTTGCGCTTCATGCCGATCGACTGACGATATCAGTCGAAGCAGCGATCCCGAAATGAACTCTTAGCACACTGCTACAGTCATTCCCATCCTCTGAGCTCTTTAAAATGGTGACTTTTTTTTATCTGCAGTACCGTACCATACAAGGAAATCTGTTTTGTGTATTGTCTGATCTGCTAGCCAAACCGACAGCACCCCCAAGCAGCATAAAAACATTGCAGATCATTTTAGTGCGAAAAGAAAGTTTCCGGACCGTTCATGGCTTTCGTAGCTAGTCATGATCCCAGTCACAATTGAAAAAAAAAAACAAAGAAATTACTGACATTGCACGGCGAGGTGTTTTTTTTTTCAACGGAGCAGCACAAAAATGCACGCGTACCGCTGATGACTCGTGCGGTGCGTCGAACCGGAAGCCGTCGTATCCCACAGTTCCATGCGATTGCCCATTATGCCAGTCACCTATTGGCAGCCGTGCTATAGTTGGGCTTGAGTAATCTAGAATTGACTTGTACGGGGCAAAATACAACTCGCAAGGTGAAGATCGAAACACACTCGCGCAGCACTGTTTATATCTCTCCCCCCTCCTTCTCAACAAGGATGTGTTCAGCGAATCGTATTCATGCATGAAAATCTCAACATCGCTATACTACAACTTAAGAAATTTTTTATACCCATATGCATTGATCTTAGCAGCTGCTGTGAAGAGCCGCTGCCAATGAGATTTTCCGAAAAATGTCTAGGTATCGGCAGCATTGTAATGCCCTGTGTTTATTGGGCACACGCTATTTTAACACCATGAGATTGTAAATGCGAAGCATTTCTTAGCGAACTTAGGTGACTTTGAGCATATCCATCCATCCATCCATCCATCCATCCATCCGTCCGTCCGTCCATCCGTCCATCCGTCCGTCCGTCCGTCCGTCCGTCCACCCATCTATCTATCTATCTATCTATCTATCTATCTATCTATCTATCTATCTATCTATCTATCTATCTATCTATCTATCTATCTATCTATCTATCTATCTATCTATCTATCTATCTATCTATCTATCTATCTATCTATCTATCTATCTATCTATCTATCTATCTATCTATCTATCTATCTATCTATCTATCTATCTATCTATCTATCTATCTATCTATCTATCTATCTATCTATCTATCTATCTATCTATCTATCTATCTATCTATCTAACTAACTAACTAACCAAAATTAGCATGGAAGGCGGGGAAGGAGGGGTAAGATCGTTTGACGAATATGATGCGCTGGTCAAGATGAATCGTGTCACAATCCTGTGGCGTATTTCGTGAAACACTTCCCCGCAGACAGTGGTACATACCCACGGGCGGTTATGTGCTGCTGGTATGCAGGTATGTGCCACAGGTAATTGAGACTTGGTATCTACCCAGGAACGATGAGTACACACATGGACAATTTTAACACGCGAGCGTTAGAAAATACCCGACATCGGTAGCGTCGACCTAAGAATTGCAAAAAAATAAATGTCAGGGTCTCAGCCGGAATCAAACCCAAACATTCTGCGTGGCAATGAAGCATTTTACCACAGAGCTACGCCAGGTCTCGCAACTACTTTCCATATAAACACCAATCTTCATGAAACATCAATGGTGGTTGCAGTGCTGCCTATCCAATTTTATCATCATCATCATCATCAGCCTGACTACGTCCACTGCAGGACAAAGGCCTCTCCCATGCTCTGCCAGTTAACCCGGTCTTGTGCTTCCTGCTGCCCAATTTACACCTGCAAACTTCTTAATCTCATCAGCCCACCTAACCTTCTGTCTCCCCCTAACCTGCTTGCCTTCTCTGGGAATCCAGTTAGTTACCCTTAATGACTAGTGGTTATCCTGTCTACGAGCTACATGCCCGGCCCATGTCCATTTCCTCTTCTTGATTTCAACTATGATATAATTAACCCCCGTTTGTTCCCTAATCTACTCTGCCCTTTTCTTGTCTCTTAAGGTTACACCCACCATTTTTTTTTTATTGCTCGCTGCGTCGTCCTCAATTTAAGCTGAACCCTCTTTGTAAGTCTCCATGTTTATGCTCTGTAGCTAAGTACCAGCAAGATACAGATGTTATATACATTCCTCTTGAGGGATAGTGGCAATCTACCTAATTTTATAAACCTTACATATATACTCCAATTGTGGCTAGTTGCCATGCGCTGAAGCTGATTTATGTAGCAGTGTCCAGGGTCAGTATCTTCGCGAGCATCAGTGCTTCCTATCAGCTTCTGATGTTGCTCATACGCATGTTCCAGTTGGCATCGGTTGCGCAAGTGCAAACAACTGGTTATATAAACATCTGCAACTCTTCAACATATGTCTGTGTGTGTAATATTTGTGCATATATTTAGCGTCATTTCATGACGTGTTTCTAAATAAAAAAATTGCAACACGATCACCTTCCCTCCACATGCTTCGCATAACGTCGATTCCCAGGTACAGGGGATCTACCGAATTTTCACAGATATGTGACGTTGCGTAACAACCACACAATTTTATGGCACGCTCAATATTTCTTGCGAATGCGAAGGAACCGTTGGCCAAAAGGATGCCATTTCTTGCGAATGGCGAGGTACCGTTGGCCAAAAAGATGATATATTAAAAGCAGTGTATTTTTTTACTACTTAAGTAGTAGTGCATGAGTTGTCATTGCGTGATGGATCACTTTGTGGTCATTACACGTTACGAGCGGGTGCTGTGGGCAAAAGCCAGAAAATTTTGACTAACCATAAACAACTGACGGCCAATGTGGAAGGAAACAATGCAGGGTAGTATAATGTTATCACCCACATTTTTAAAAAGAAAAGTTGAGCATGCCCTGTTCGCGTAGGCGTGTTGACTTGAAGGTGCACGAGTTTCCCTCCAATCAAAGAGGCAAACTCAAATACGATAAGTATAAAGAATGTATTGTGTCTCTAATACCGCAAGTTGTTATTTAAAAAAAAGCCTGTGGTTACCAAGTTAACAGTTATAGTAGTATCATACACTAATAATAATAACAATGGGACAAAAACACTTTTCACACTATTCAACGTTACGATTCTACACTGTTGGGCAGGCAGCCATCAACATAATTGAATTATTAGGTACAATTCTGTGGGTAATGCACAAAAAGAGTTACTCACAATATTGTTACGTGCATAATACGTGTATGTATGATTGGCCTAAGGTATGCTACGTAGAACTGAGAACACTTCTCCAACTTTATTAAACACTGCTTACTAAGTTCTTGCATCTCTGTATACCAAAAATCACGTAAAAGTGCAAATGCAGTTCTCTCTCTCTCTCTATATATATGTATATATATATATATATATATATATATATATATATATATATATATATATATATATATATATATATATATATATATATATATATACATCAAAGGCTTGCCTTCACTCCCCCCCCCAACTCAAGAACAATTTGGTACACTATACTGCCTATATCCGTACTTCACATCACATCTGTGTTTTGTTCAGCGCACCTATTTGAACAAGGGTGTGTAACGACTAACGCGCTATTACTTCTCAAGTGACATGCTAGGACTTATTTCTCACGCATGGGTAACGAATGCGTAACTAGAGCCGGTTTCGTTTTCTTCCTAGTACATCTCTGACACAGTGAAAAAAATATGCAAAAAAACACCACGTTTAGGAACATAAAAATGCTTAGCATTGTTTTATTTTATGCAACATAATTTTTTTACACAGAGCGACTAGTTTAAGTTCAATGGCAGTGTTCCCCGACCCCAGAAGCCTCAAACATGATGCTCTAAAAGAAAAACAATTCTAGACTGCGCTGCTCAAGTAAACAACACATTTGACGTCACACAGTGAGGTTGTACAGCCTACAAAATTGGTCTGATAATATAAAAATGGCAGTGTTACAGGAGAAAATGCAGCACACATTGTTGAAAGAGGGGAAAAAAGAGGAAGAGAACTGCTTGGCGTACTTTGCAAAAGCGAAAGTGGTGCAGATGTATGTCGTGACGATGTATCTCAAGTTTTGAACCCTTGATCCACTCATTGGTCGCAGCAGCATAACAAGAAAAAAGGTAGACGCTCAAGCAAAACAAATGATATTAAATACAGGGACAAGTTCTCCACTGCTACCTTGCATTGTAACTGGCAAACTTGCGGACAGCACCAGCATGAATCGCACAGTAAGCGTTCCTGATTGTCTGATTAAAAGAGCATTCACTTCATAGGTGTTTTCGAGTATCATTAATGTGTGTTGGTACGTGTGGTATTTTGACTTGGCAGTTTGCTGCTAAGCAGCTTTGCATGTTAGCGTCGAGTCTAGAAGAAAACAAAAAGAAGCACCGTTTAAGTTCAAGAGCTACGATGAAAACATGTACAAATGCGCCGTTTACTATCCTGCAACAAAACGGCAAGAAGACAAGCTGGGTTCCACCTGTGCTGATGAAAGGAAAAAACAAAAAAGAAGTAGAAAACAGTAACAACAACAACAATAAAATTTTTTTTTGAGTCAAGTGCAAAAAAAAAGAAAAGAAGGACCCACATCGTGTTTCGGAACCTCATTCCACCCCATTACATATAGTGTGGGTCCTTAGCTCTCCTGTTGGGCACTGTCCGTTGTTCTTTTACTCGCCATCTGTGTGCCTAGAAGCCGATGTTTGAGTCCTTGATGCATACAGCACAGCGACTAACACGGTTGCGAAGCTTGCCAGCCTTGAGCGTTTCACTGACAGGCCGTTCGAACTGGAAGTCCTGTTCGATAGTGGAAAGCCAGAAGCTGAGCTTATTGGCGAAGTAATGGCACGTGCCACGCGCACCGTTACACTCAATGAACGGTGTGGCCCTGAAGTCCTCGAGGCAGGATCCGGGACTGGAAAGTGACTGACCACCTCCTTCGGCGCCGGCGGCCGTGTGCTGCATTCCAACGTTTCGAGCATTACAAACACGAAATGCTAACCTGTAGAATTGTATCAACTGAGTTTGCTAGTCCATAATTGATGGCAGCGCAACTGAAGTAACAAAACACAAAAGGGAGACAAACAAGTATGTCCCAGCCTGTCTCGGATTTATTCTTCCGCGTTTCTTCAGTTCCGCTCGTCACATTTCCATTGCTGATATAATTATTTCATACTGTGACGCCATAAAAACGTCACAGAGATGGTCCTGTTAGCACAAATAGGAAGATTGGAATGTTGTTGGTAAAAAGGCCCTGGGTTGGCGCAAGAATTTCGTCCTGCAGGATTACTGCAACGACAATTATCTTCCAGCAAGGCAGGGGCGACCAGCTATCAGCTCAGCTTTCCAGAACATAATTAGAGACAAACGGTGTGGGTCGGCTAGTAATATTGTAGGGGGCAACCCCACACCTCTATTCTTATTACCACCCCTGAGAAGAGCAAGGGGGTCATCGTGATCAAGATGTATATGCATATTGTATATACTTCCATTTGATATGTGCCTTGTGCATTGCTCTGGAGAATGTCGAAACATATTGCAGTAAAAATATTAGAAATAAATAAATACAATTGAGTAATTTTACTAGCAAATACACAAAATTATTTTCTATTCAGGTTGAGTAGTAAAACAGCGCCTATCACTTGTTTGTATGTCACGTTAGAGCATTTTACATTTCGTTGCATTCGTATTCAAGGTTTTCGTCAGCAGAAGCCCATCGCTGCACCTCACGCACAAGCTAAATCTCTTCTCGCACGGACATTTACAACCATGAAAGCTAACAACGAAACGTGAGGCGTTACATACCGTGAGGCGTTACATGCTTATCAATCTACTGGCATAGCTTCCACAACATTTCAGGCTGTGCAGAAAACAAGAGATGGTGCATTGTTTGGAGCATAAGCGTGTGCAGGGTTCCGCTTTATGGAGGGGAGGTGAAGGTTCGTTGCCGCGCCACCCCCTTTTCACTATGGCGAACTTTTTGCCATCGCCCCTCTCTTATGTAAATGAAGGCAGGGGCTCCCCCCCCTTGCACAGGCCTATGGTTTGGACATGCAGTCAGGTGGGCGAGCAAAGCAGCGCAAACAAAACACCTGTAAGACGTGGAGTTTGAGAACATATACAATGTTACTTGGCTGAGCTATAAACTCTAAAGCTCCCTGAAGACTTGGCATAGCTCATTGCTAGGCAGCCTGGAAAGCATCGAGACAGACTAGACAAAAATACCCAAAAAGCAAACAAAAACAAGCACCGACAACACTTCGTACGATCGTTATTACTGTCTTTGCACTCTGAATCTATACCCATTTGCCTTTAGTTACCTTTGGAGCTGAAAAGAAATGCACCACAGTCCTTCACATGCACCTGCCATGCTGAATGAGTGTTCTGTATGTCCGTGCTATGCGTCATCTAGATACTGAAACCATATTGTCCCTAAAACTCAGCAGAAATTACAACTTGGTAGGTTTATTAATATTTTTGAGTAGGGATTAGTTCAGTGCTTACCATGGCAAAACTGTAACCGATCCACAACTGGTTCCATCCTCCAGATGGACACTCGGGTATTGACATGGACTGGCTGTGGACTGCTATGACATTGGCTGGGGCTTCGCAGACCACGCATCGACTGATGTACTGCCTAATGGTGTCTTCTCCGACGGGCATCATTGGTATCGGGGCGTTCGTTGAAAGCCAGTACGACTTGTCGTTACGGCTTGCGTAATTGCACACGCTGTTGAAGTCACAAAACAGGAACGGCATCGTGCTAAATCTTCTCAGGCAAGAGCCGGCGTAACCTGCAAAAAAGGCGGATAGAAGTGAAGCATCGTGACGGCTGCTAAAGTGGTAAGGGGTAAAAAGGAAAGGCGCCAGAAAGTCGGATGTCATAAAAGGATTCAAGCTATTCTCAGTGACAGCAATAAAAACAGGGGGGAGGTGCAATTACACCATTGCTTAGCTCATGGGATTTTTGTAATTGTGCAAACAAATTACGTTTGCCCATTTTCATACATCACAGCAGAGGTGAAGATCATCAACGTAAAACACCCCTTTTCAACTATTTTTTTGGAGTGTGGAGTCACAAAGGGTAAATAAAGTGCGATTTTTATGTCGAAGCATGCAGCACTGTTTGGCCACTTCCGCGCACATACATTCATACGTTCATAGATACAGCCGAGTAGCTTTCCATATGAGATGAACATATTTTGCTGTATCTAATGCTGCAAAGATTAAAATAAAATTTAAACCTACTGATTCTTTGCGAGACAAGTCATCATTATGTTACGTGGTGCACCTATGGCATTCGGCTGCATGCGAGTAACAAAGTTTGAGGAGGAGACCACTAACCGAGATCTTGGTTGTGGGACTTCTCGTTGCCTTCGATGTATAGGAGCGAGTAGCCATCCCACAGCTTGGTCATGCCATTGAAGCAGGTCGGCACGGTGGCCGACTGGCTGTGGCGAACCAGCAAGATTCCCATGAGATAGTCGCCACCGGGTAGCCCTGGCAGACCCGGATTGCCTGGTTGACCTTGTGCTCCCGGCAGACCTGGCAGACCTGCAGTACCTTGAAGACCACGTTCTCCCTTTGGTCCCACAGGACCCACTGGTCCTGGAGGCCCTTGTGGACCTGGTCGACCAGCATCTCCCTTGAGCCCTGCGCCGGAGGCCAGCAATCCACGCTTAATATTGGCGTAGTGAAGGCAGGAGTGGCATTAAATAATTCGAATTCCCGCCCTCCCACCTCGAGATTTTTTTGCCTGCGTATTTACGCCAGCACACAATATGAACGTACACATACATGACAAGTTAGGAGGACAGGATAGTATGAATATGGTCCATTGTGGAGTAGCCTGTACGAAATCCTGCTTGGTCTATTGATTTATTGAATTCTAATGTTGTCCTAATTCTATTAGCTATTGTTTTCATAAATAGCTTGTAGAGAATGGACAGTGAGCTGATCGGCTTGTAAATTTTCAAGCCCTTGACATCTCACTTCTTATAGATTAAAATGATGTTGGCGTTTTTCCAAGATTCTGGTACCCTTCTCGTCAAGAGAGACTTCGTATATAAGGTGGCCAGTTTTTCTAATACAATCTCTCCGCCATCTTTCAGCAGGTTCTTTGTTATCCTCACCAGCGGCATTTCCTATTTGCATTCCTTATAGAGCTTTCATTACTTCCCCTGTCGTTACTGGTAAGATGTCAAATTCCCTTTGGCTATAATTACATCTCACGGTATCATCTTGGTTGTTTTGGCTTCCGGGCAGCTCTCTGTATAGAGTTCCTACGCCACCTCGACAATCCTATCCATATTGGTTTTAACTTCGCCTTCCTTGTCCTTTGATGCATACATCTGGTATTTGCATATGCACAAGTTCACCTTCGCAGCTTTTAGGCTTCTGTCACTTTTTACAGCCTGCTCGATTCTCTTCATGTTATACCTTCTGATGGCGGCTATACCTTACCCCTACTGAATAACTTCAAAAGCTCTGCTAGCTCTATTTTTTCTGTTGTATTTGAGGTGTATATCAGTATAAGTGGAGGTCTTCCCAGCAACTAATTAGGACAGCTGCTTAAGGATTGTTGTGACGAGAGAACTGAGTTTATTAATGACAGCACACCACGTGATGCCTTCCTTAATTTTTGCAGCTGCGTATATTGCATATGTATAATAGAATCGTGGGTCCTACAAGAACCAAGTACATAAGTTGTCATAACAGCATCGAATGCAGTATTAAATGCGAGGCATTTCTTAGCAATACAAAGACACCTTGAATATTTCTAACTGGTTATTTATGTAGCTTCCAACGTCTGGGCGCTGTCATGCTCGTCTGCTTAACTTGAAACACCAAAGTTTACACGGGAGGGCATAAGTGTACGTCGAACAGGACGAACAGGTTTTTATATGAATCACGTGAGATACATGTCGCGTGCGCCATAATACCATTCGCTCCAGTCACCTGAGGCATATACTCGTATGCCACGGCCCATGAAATGCGGGTATGAGCAATGGTGATTCACCATTCATATGAATCCAAGAATGGTGATAACATTATGGAGCTTGTGTGGCCTGAAATTCGGGCTGGCGTCCACAGTCTTGTCAATGGGAAACATATCAGAGGTACAGAGAGAGTGAAAATCATGGTTAAAACCCCGATAAAGCCCGGGAATTTCGCCTGGCAGTCAACTAATCACCTACAGAGCTACCCCAGTGGTTGATAGTGCTTACAGAAAAGACCTTTGTTATCATCATATCACGGCAACGTCAACTGCATTTGCAGTATTTGCCATCAGCATTTGTAACAATGCAATAGCCAATATATATCAACTCCAATGATTAGCCAAGCTGTGACCAACCATGGCTTCACCCGTAAGAATATGACAAAAAAATACTTGTTAAGGTTTACACATCATCACACCCTAGCCATCTGTTCATTTTAATAAAACTGTATTCTGTGCTCTAACATGAGTATGGACGTCCCAACGGACCATAGGATACCATTTTACGTCAGTGCAATCAACACGCTCGGTAAGCTCATGACTGCTCCAGTAGCCAGTAATGGGTAAAGTTGCAGGAGGCCTCCCCCATTGTTGCTTTCTCAAACACATACTTTCCTTAAAATAGATACTTTCCTCAAAGAGTCAAGGCTATCAGAAAAAGCTCTCCTCCCCTTCCATGTCCCCCCCAAAATTGTTCGCTTCGGGTGTGCTCGCGAAATACCCATAACTAATCAAAGTGCGCACAGAAGTCGGTCTGACTCAGAATGCTTAATTCAATGCAGTAAAAAAAAGTTTGGTATAGGCCACTAATCACCTATAGCTTCACGTGACATCTGCTCCCAAAAGAAATGGGGTCTGCTTAAATTCTTTTTGAAAAAAGATTTCTCATGGAAGAGTGCATGGGTTACAAATCAATGCGGACAAAATATATGACGCAATTTCTGGACCTCACACCGCACAGATTCTCAGCAAGCCCCATTTAAATGGGCCCCAGCCCCCTTTAAATCCATGGGTTCGAACTTTCACTCAGTAAACACGTCCAAGACTGAGTGCACAAGGGCTGACAAAAAAAAATTGCCAGGCCTGCATGGAACGCGCAGCACAGTCACAGCGAAAGCATGAAAAGTGGCCTTTCAAAGGCTTTTCTTACACTCTTTGGGTAAATGCTAAAAGCACACTTGCTAGGTATCCACTACCTCATATATAATCATAATTTTTGCGTAGTTAGCCTGCATTCACTTTGCTATCCTTCGTTATCCTTCCAAGAAGCGTTGTATCAGCTAAACACTTGCCACAAAATTTGTGCAAATTTTGTGTTGCATTCAGTGACTGACGATGATGAAAAAATTACGCATGAAGCAGGTATGTGCCACCGTCATTAGGTGATGAACAATCCTTTGTAATGTGTTGGAGCATTGAATGACCTCCTCGTTACGCGATTTCGATTGTTTGAAGCCTGGTTGTTCTTTTGTTGTTATAAAATTAAGGTTTATTACTCATTATTACACAATTTCTTTCAAGACATTTAGCCTGCCAAAGTCAAGTTTGCAAACAAATCATAAGCACTGGCGTGGCTGAGTGGTAAAATACTGGACTAGCACGCAGTGGTTCGGGGTTCGAATCCTACTATGTAACACTTGTTGTTTTTTAGTTTTATTAAGTTTGTTTCTTATTTTGTGTGATAGTGGTTACGGACACTGGTGGTGGCGGCGGCGGACAACAACAGTACTGTACGTGACCCATGTTGTGATCTCATAACAGCTTTTGCCTGTATAAAAACAACATAGTAGATATAGGCTGCCACATACGAACCTGGGAAACCTGGAGCTCCTGGGTTGCCCTTAGGTCCTGCTAGCCCCGGAGGACCTGGTAGTCCGCGCTCACCCTTTTCACCTTGTATTACAAGGCCTGGTTCTCCTCTGTCTCCCTGAGCACCAGGGTACCCTGCAAACAACCAATGAATTCATATGGCTCACACAGCATAACAAGCCACTCAATTTTCGCCAGAACATTTGCACAGATGTAAAATGTGTTATTGTAAAAGAACGCAGGTAGAAAAATGACAGAAATATTTAAAAGACCTCGTGACAGCATCACTTTTGTTTTAACGGCATAGGTGTGATACTGACGGGTAATTAACGAGGTTAGTGAAACACCGAATGGTACCCTACCGGGGGGACCGTCCAAACCAGCGAATCCAGGAAGACCGGGTTCTCCCTTGAGGCCAACCAATCCTGGAAGACCCGGGAATCCGGCGTCACCCTTGTCACCCTTTGCTCCAGAAACGCCAGGGTATCCATCTTGGCCTGCAGAACAAAAGATATTGGCAATGCATGAGGGTAATCAGTGGCAATGGGAATTAACTTTTAGCGATTTCTTATGTGCTTGAACAAATGATCGAAAGTCACTTCGACAGGCGCGTAGTGATCACACTTGTAAATATATGTATTGCATCTTTATATAAAAGATAATTTAACCTTTTTACAAAATTGTTCAAACAGGGCAAAATCTCGGACTTCTAGAAGGTGTCCTTAATATGAAGTGCAGGTGTGACAAGAAGTAAAATACTACACGGCAAAGTTAACTAGGTAGTACTAGCTCGCATTTCACCGTTTGTTTAGTTGACAACGCGTGGCTTACCGGGAAGTCCTGGTGCTCCAGGTGGTCCCGGGGGTCCGGGAAGGCCTGGGAAGCCGGCATCTCCCTTATCACCGTCACGGCCCGGGAAACCATCTTGGCCCTTGGGACCTGGGTAACCATCCTGACCAGGCAGACCAGGAGGGCCGGGGTAGCCGCGCTCACCCTTCTGTCCAGGAATACCTTCAGTGGGGGACTCGCCTGGGGGTCCTCTCTGACCGGGTAGACCGGGAAAACCCGCATCGCCTGTTTGGGAACCACGCGTGTTAGAAAAACTAAAAGCGAATATGGATAAACCGACAGGCAAATTTAGAGTAGTGTGGAAAAAGGTCCCAGAGTATTTTTGAAGCACTAGGCCAAGCTCACCCACCCTTAAAACCTGGAACTCCTGGAAAACCATCTAGGCCGGGTCGACCAACGTCGCCTTTTTCACCCTTGGCACCGACTCCCCCTTGTCCTGGAAGTCCTGGAAGGCCCTGAGGTCCGGGGGCACCTACAGAAAAAAAGATATATGATTTCGAATAGACACTAACCTTCTCTAGCTAGCAAAATTCTTCCCACTGATGGAAGACTGCTCAACAGGGAGCAGTTAGCGCACCTGGGAACCCTCGTTCTCCATCAAGGCCAGCAAGACCCGGCAGTCCGGGCGCCCCTCTGTCTCCCTTTTCACCTGCAAAAGAGCATGTATCATCTCACGGCAAATGAATTAGAACAGTCGTAATACGTAATTTTCGCATCTGATGCTTGGCACATTTTGACTGTATTTTTCTCTACTATAACACGTGAACTGCATAAAATTAGTGTGACATTAAAACAGGTAGATGACAATTGCCAATTATCAATTGTACCACTGAGCAAATTGTTTTAGGCATTGTTCTAACTTATCTCAGCTTTGTGCTTCAAATCGAAGCCAGAGGTGCTGAGTTCACTGGTGTGTGTCTACAGTATCATTTTTCTATTGCTCTACTTGATGGTCATTGAGTGAGCAAAGCCCTTCCTGCTCTAAAAAAAAGGCACAAACTGTTTATGCACACTTGTATAATCAGATCATGCATGCCACTTAGCATAAATATATGCTTGTGGTTTCTTGTAAAATAAAAATATGTCTGAGCAATGTGACAGAGACAACCACCATCTAACCTGGGAGTCCGGGAACTCCATCGTATCCTCGGTTTCCTTTGTCACCGGGAAAACCTGGAAGGCCAGGAACACCTTCGTCTCCCTTCACACCCTTTTCTCCCTTTACGCCTGCAAAGAGCACACATCCACTGATGAGGCAACAATTTTGCTGTGAGTCCACATAATCTTGTATAATTGTTGTTTACTAAATATTTTGATTTGTTAGCAACAATTACTCAGTGACAAGTTTGTCTAAGACAATTGATAGCAATAAAGTCAAATGCTTGGAGTCTACATGCAGTTATCATAGAGATAGTAACATATGCAGCTTCCCTGATTGCCTCCCTGTACATAAATTTCAACTTACTACTACAAGAGCACTTACAGCACTAGATGCATGTGGGTACGTCTGCTGATGAACCTAAAACACAAAGATATTTTCGCAGAGCAATGCGTAAGCAAAGAAAGTGATCTACGTAAACCAAGTCCCTCATGCTTTTCAAAACGAAACTGACTCCATTATTTACATCGCTGTGTTTAATATTCAAGCTATCCAAATTGAACATAGAAAACAAAATGCCTTGCTCTTTGGTTTACATGTGCTTTATACGACCTAAGTGACAGACTTAAATTCCCTGATAAACATGATCAGCCAATCGCAGATTTTTGGATGTTTTGATTAGAGTTACCTCATTTTTAACTAGACGTAACTTCTACATTATGACCGGTACTATTCATGCAGAATTCTCTATTTTTACATTGATATTTATTACCACAGTAACTCCAAGTTCAAACAGTATACTAACTTTAGTACTACCCTGAGCCAATTGAATGGCCATAAGATGCTGTGATCAAGATAACTATATTGCAGTGCATGTTATGCTATTCCAGCTACCATATGACCTCGCCTTTTTTTTGTTTGATAATTTACAGAGACTCCCAATACTAATCCTACCTATTACATAGAACTGCACGTGAAAGTGTCATCATACCGGGGATGCCAGGGTAGCCACGGTCTCCCTTTTGGCCTGGCGCTCCGTCTAGGCCGGGGAAACCAGGTGATCCGGTAGGTCCGACAGGTCCGGCGGGACCGGTAGGTCCCGGATAGCCATCTTGTCCGCGGTCTCCCTTGATGCCTTGTAAGCCTGGGGCACCATCCAATCCCTTTGGTCCTGGTATACCTGGTGCGCCATCACGTCCAGGTTGACCTGGAGGGCCTGGGATACCGGGGAAGCCCTGCGTTTGCCACGTGAGAGTTAGCATGTTGCACATCATGTGTACTGCACTTGTCCTGGATATTTTTATGGTTCGTCCGCTACGTGGCACCGCACCCGTAACAGGAAGTTTTCGGAGCAGATTAGCAGCGAAGCAGATGAATTTGCTCCCAAATGAAGCACGTTGTGATACTCAGCGTGTAACTTGCACTTACAGACTAAGTGCGTATGAAGACAAAAGAAGCAAAAAAATATGAGCAGATGCACACACCGCAGGATATGATCAAAAGGAAGATGATAGGAACGCATTTCGAAGCGAAAGACGTGGACAAAGCACAAACGTGTGATGAAACAAGACAGTGTGTCTCATCTCATCTCTGTTTGTATGTTCGAAGTGCATTCACATTGTCGTCATGCTGAACTATCACAACTGAGTACTGTGATGATCAAAACGAATTTGAAGTAATTTGCTGATATGTCTTGTGAATTCACAATTGCAAACATCAATTCACTGCAGAAAGAGACAAAAAGTACCCATGTAGTTACACGATATCACGCAGGGATAAATCTCTGCGTTTCCAATGTTTATGAATTGCCGTAGGAAACTGCCAAGAAACAACGATTTCGCAGCATCTATGATCGACCAATAACTTGAATTACCTGCTAAATGCGGATCGACCTTTCCTTGAAATTAAGAATACTTCTGTTTCCAGGTTAACAGAATAAAGAATTCTGTGGATAAAGTGCCAGAGTAAATTCCTCACCAAAGAATGTATCGAGTCACGGTGACTATTGACATAGTATCTGGTTTGCACTTCTGAATACTCTGCAGAGCCCTTACCCTATCTCCCTTAGCACCGGGAAAACCAGGTGCTCCATCAGCACCTTTCTCTCCTGGTGTTCCAGGGACACCTGGGAACCCATCAGCTCCTTTCTCTCCTGGCGGGCCCTGAAGGCCTGGCAGACCTTGGCCTGGTGGTCCAGGTTCTCCCTTTAGACCAGAAACTCCGTCATAACCTACAAATACAAGCCAGTAGATGTAATAACATGGTCTTTGCGCGTCTTTCACTTGATATGCTGGCTTATCAACTTAAATGTTGCGCTGTTGGGTACGAAAGCGCGAGTTTGATTCTTGGAAACGGCGGCCGCATTTCCACTAGGTAAGAAAAAAAGCTATTTTAGTCCGATTTAGGTGCACGTTACAGAACATGAAGTGGTTGAAATTATTGCAGAGCCCACAGGACGGCTAGCCTCATAATCATAAACATGATTTTGGCACGTGAAAATCCCCAAATTGATTCTAGCACGCTTGCACTATAGGTCTTCCAAACTGACGAAAAGCCGTTGTGCATATGTCCTTGCGATGAGCGCGCACGAACACGGGTTGGTGTGGCTGCACACTTACTTCTCCACATGAATCTCTTCCGCTTGCGTTAACGGCATTTTTTTGTGTTCTTAAGCACGATAACCGTCTCTGTCGAAATAGTATTAATTAAAAAAAATATATCAGCTTCTTACAAGAATTCTGCTGATAACAGTAGGTCAACAAAATTCGCATCTATTTTTCAGCTTACCTGGTTCTCCTGGGGGACCAACAGGGCCAGGGGTTCCAGGAAGACCCGGGTAACCTCTGTCTCCCTTTTCGGAAACGTCTCCAGGTAGACCCTTTTCTCCTGGCACTCCGGGTAGTCCAGGTTCTCCTTTAAATCCAGGTGCTCCTGGGGGACCGACGGGTCCAGGAGCACCGGGGTAGCCGGCGTCGCCTTTTTCGCCAGCCAGACCCGGTAGTCCATCGGCACCACGCTGGCCAGAAATTCCAGGGAATCCAGGACTTCCTTTGTCACCCTTTTCACCTTCAAATAGAGCAAAGTAGGTAAGACGGTATTCGTGAGGGAGCGAGCTAGAGAATTTCATTGAAGCGGTGAGCCAAAAGGCATAAAAATAAACTTCAATGAAGACAAGAAGAGCTTTATTTCAAGTGTTTGATTTATTATAGTTGCATTTGTTACCAATGAACAAGATTTGTACTGACACAGCAATTGTTCAGTTAACGTTTTTCTTTGGAGTTGATGCTTCAATCACAGTCCCAGTGCATGAGCGTGGTGTGAAAAAGATGTCTTTTTTTAATTTGGAGGGCTTTAGCCCTATGAGTGTTCTCAAAACTTGTTAAATCTAGTTTTCTCTCTTTAGAATTTCGTGTCACCTTTCTTTACTGAAAAACGATCAAGCAACAATACGCAGACGGTGGGAAAATGTCTGTTTGGTGCATGCTTCCTATAATATGACTGACTAAGTACGAGATAAAAATGAATAGTGCGAACATACTTAGTTTTCTCTTTTTTTGCGAGCTTTTTGCACCTAGTAAGCATGGTGATAGAGCTACAAAAGGTTACACAAAAATTAATTTTTTAGGTACCGGTTGTCAAGTTTTCAAAGCAGATATTTTGGTCTTCCACAACTGATTATAATGAATATAATTTTTTATCTACGTCTTCTCTTATCACACGTGAAGTTGAAGCTAATTGTCGTGAGCAGTAAGTTTACCTTCAGCCTTGTAATGGTAAGGATGTCAGCTCTGATGTCAGCACCACTAATTGTGCTAATATTCTGTAATCCAAGGAGATATAGTATGTGAACTTAAATTGGCATTGACAGCCTTCCGTTTATGTCTAACGTGGTACTTTGCATTGTCATCGGCACCATTATAACTTTTACATCGCGATGTATTCGCCAGCAGCATAGTTTCGCCCAAACACTCATGCTTCCACAAAAATGTTAATAGCGTTGCTATGCATCACTAGAGATAATTTTTGTCATGCATGAGTAAAAACATGTCGCTGAAAGATCAATGTGTAGTAGAATCATTCTGTTTGGGCTAAAATTCACTGGTGGCTATGAAGCGCTCCCCACCACATATATGAGCAAATGCAGCACCTGGTACTCCCGGAAAGCCAATAGTTCCGTCACGTCCGGGCTCTCCAGGCGCTCCTGGCGCTCCATCAAAACCAGGGAGACCGGGAAGGCCAGGAAAGCCGGCTTCACCCTTTTGTCCTGGAAGTCCTGGTGCACCAGGTGATCCTGATAGGCCAGGGTAGCCGGGCTCGCCTGTAATGTTGGCAGAGTTTGACGTCAATTTCCACGTTAACAAATCATGCACATTGAAATCAGGTCCAACTAAGTAATCACTGTTCTTTAAGGAATCTTCCTACTTACCGAACGGCACAAGGCGTTATAGATTAGCATCTTACTCGATTCAGACTTGACATTGGGTCATGGGTTGAGCAGTATGAAAGCTTTCATAACTGTGTCTCTTTATATAGTTTATGTGTTTATATAGTCACAAATGAAATTATTTTAAGGCATGCTTTCTTATATGACACTGCGAGGTTTTAGCTTATATTAATGCGCAATCTAAGATGTACGTTGTATCAACCTTCAAGCAGCTCACCGACTGGAGTTTGTGCATGTTCCTTTCCATGATCTCTTACATGACATTTAAAAAGCGCAGTATATGTCGACTCTTGTTGATGCCAGGCCACGCCATAGTCAGAAAACAGTCCCTGAATAATGTCTACAGGCCACTCCCGCTTGTCCTAATAAAGCTCGTGCATGTCATACAAACCTTTCTCCCCAGGGAGTCCGGGCAAACCTTGAAGTCCTTGAGGTCCGGGGGTACCTTCTCTCGCTGGTTCACCTTTGTTACCCTTTTCGCCCAATACACCGGGCAATCCTGGGGCACCGGTGTCACCCTTCGGTCCCGGGAATCCCGGCAGTCCTGGTTCACCTGCACATCAAGAACCCAAAGGACGGTAAGATCAAATATTTGTCGAGCGATGTTTGCCATTCGCGCAGGGTCGTCCTTGACTTCGAGTCTAGTGTAAGTGTTGCAATTCTGTCCACCCTTAATAATTACAACATAAAGCCGGTTTTATATCGCCGATTCTCTGGTGGAAACAAAAAACAATGTGCCTGCTTAATGTACCTGCTATACTTTTGCTTCGAAATCACAGAAAGAATGGTCGCTAAACGTATAGCAAAGAGGTGATACTACTCATCTGCCATAAAGATTGTCTCACATGAAATTCAGGGGGATATATGCACATCTACACTTTAGTAGTGCTAATATCTTAGCTGCACTATGATCAATGACTGAATGAAAAACTGGTGGAAACTTGAAGGAAAAGTTTAGACAAGAATAGTTTGTCTGTTCCATGCGTCAAAACGAAGAACTCAACCCGGCCTTCTTCAACCGCTACTGATTGCTTCAAACCCTCCTGTAAACCTCTGCGTTTTATGGACTGTATCATGGTTCTTTATTTAGATATGTAGTGTAGAGGTGGTTGACCATCATGACATTTACGGGATAGGGGGAAATTTCAGGACGTGGAAGAGGCATCTGTGGTTGTCGGATGCCTTTCGGATGCCAATGTCCTCTGGGTCTAAAACCATGTTGGCTGATATCTATAGCGTGTTTTGCATTCGTTTGTCCGCATGCAAGCCACGTTGACTGAACCATGAGGGAAACTCGCCTGGCAGGCCGGGGCCTCCTGGGAATCCCCTGTCTCCCTTCAGTCCAGGGAAGCCAGGTAGACCTGGTGGTCCTGGGAGGCCAGAGCCGGGGAAGCCAGGCTCACCAATGGGTCCTGGGGGCCCGTCGAGACCTGGTGGTCCAGGGTTGCCCTTTGCTCCTGGTTCTCCGGGAATTCCTGAAGGCCCCTGCTCACCCTTCTCACCACGAGGTCCCGGTAGACCTGAAAATCACATAACTCCTTTATTAGCATACTCGCTTGGTTTATGTACATTAAGCGAGTCAGAAACCACTGTGCGCCATAGTAAGACTTGTGTGAGGCCTAGATTCAGTTCATTGATGTGACGCCCGAAACAGTGAGGGCACTGCCTGTTATCATAAGTCATAATTCTCCTATAAGGGCACCAAATTCATCGCTCCTCGCTTTCATGTTTTTCCATAGCACTCAATTGATTTACTAATTTGGGCGGAGAAGCATATCTTCTCGACCGTGCCTGAAAAACAGCACTCAAATTGCATGAAAGAAGAATAACATCCCATGTAAAACAGCTCTATGAGTGGAAATGCTTGAGATGAAAGTGGCTTGTTTAATGTGAATACTCAATTTCGAATCTTCAGATCTCGAGTAATCATTGATTAAGTATGAATTGGGCATTTCCTCTCTAGCCACTGTAGAAAACTGCTACACAGTCTCTTACAGGCAATTACTTGACAACGGGGTAATGCTGATGCTGACCTCTGGGACCAGGCTGTCCAGGAAATCCAGAGTCTCCCCTTTCTCCCTTCACACCCGGGAATCCGTCTCGACCAGGAATGCCAGCGTCACCCTTCGGTCCCTGCAGTCCGTCAAGGCCAGGCCTACCTGTATCTCCAGAAGGCCCAGAAGGTCCACGCACTGGTTCCGTCAAGCTGCCAGGACCTGCGTCAGTGGCCAGTGAGAACTTTGAGCTTGCAGGCTTATGGAAGGCTGGTACAGAGCGACGGGCACCAGTCGGTGTTTGTGACTGTGCACCTCTGAGGGTTTCAAATACTATATTGGCAACGATTCGATTGCATAACTCCAAGCTGAATTTCCACACATTTCAACGCATGTAGTCGTTTGATGGACTCAGATGGAGTACCGTTCCTTGTTACTCACCTGACTACTGTTCTTTTCTTTATTTCTTTAAGCAGTGAATAGCACTGGTAGGGCATTGTATAGTGATAACCTTGCAAGAAGTCGTTGCAGGAGTTCACTTTATTCTATAATCATCAGAGTTAAGGCACCTTTGTATGGCTTTTTAAACAATTCTTTTTTTTCTATTTCTGTAACTGAGCATGAGAAATTAGAATTATATTATTTTGAATCATTTATGTGCACTTGGTAGTTATTATTCTTCACACACCTGGTGCAACCAACCACAGCGTGGTACTGGTCTTCCTTTCTATATTTTTTATTTTCAAAAAGAACTGCTTCGTTAACTTTGGGAGATCACGAAGCCGCAGAAGTTTTTGCCTCCATGTTACGAAAAAGCGCACGCTAAACCTACCTGTTCACGAACTTTTCACGTGACGAACAATAGAAAAAAAAGTGCAAAAGTAGGAGTATACTTAACGCCGAGAAAGACCAGCTGCATTTACGTACCTGGTGGACCACGCAACCCTTTCTCGCCCTTCATTCCTTGGAAGCCTTGCTGTCCCTTGGGGCCCCTCTCTCCCGGTTCACCCTTGCGACCATATCCGGCGTCTCCCTTCTGCCCCATAGGACCTGGCCGACCCTCAACTCCAGGCTGGCCGGGACTTCCGGGAACCCCAGGGAAACCCTGCGACACACGTGCTCTTCAGAACGAGTGCTTCAAAGCTCCGATCTCGACGTTGCAGTTTCTCCTATGTGACTGCACACAGACATTTTTTGTCCTGTTCTGTAGTTTTTTTGTGTGTGATAATGTTGCAGCTGTTGTTCGGGCCTTGGAGCTTTTTAAGTGATTTGAACCATATAACGCCCCTACCACCACGGCAAATAATAATAATAATAATAATAATACTAATAATAATAATAATTCTTATTATTATATTAGTGGTACTACTGGCCGCGCCTTACCCCCGACGTCGCTCGTTACGTGAGGACATGCCAAGACTGTCAGTGATGGAAGACACCGCCGACAAGGCCAGGAGATTTTCTTCAGCCGATCGAACCTCCTCGCCAACTGTTCCAACAAATCGGGATGGACCTACTGGGGCCGTTTCCGTCGTCGAATTGAGGAAACAAATAGATTGTCGTAGCTACTGACTAGTAGTAGTATTAACATGGTGTAAAATATTTGGTCTTAGAAATAAACAATCCACCGACACCACTTATTTCCTATTGCTGGTTTCTTCGCCGTTTTTAGTGAAGACTTTAAATGAACTGGCTATTTAATTTTGGGCATGTACAATTATCAAACAGAGAAAAAGAGGTTAGCAGCAACTGGCTTTTGAAATTCTGGACAAGCATGTGGAAGCAAGCCTCCAAGTAAATGTAGTCTAATGATACGCTTGTTCACTTGCTGTGTCGCTAAACACGCTCGTTAACTCCCCATATATCGAATGCGGCAGTAAAACCTCGTCAAACATATATCTCTCAATATCACGGGGTATAAGATTCCTACTTAAAGAAGGTTCTTCGGGAGTCAGCACATCCGTCTTAGTTTTTTGTGTACGACTTTCGCACTGCTCATCCACAAGTATGAATACGCATACGAACCATAGCTCGGGCCAAGTTGTGGCTCAATTATTTAGCCCTAGACATTTGGTCGTTTAGTTGACTCAAGTTAAGCACGTTAAAATGGGTTGGTAGGAGAGAGGGTGTCGGTAGGCACATCTGGTCATCAGTGGAAGGGGTTGCGCACCTTTTCACCCTTCAGTCCACGCATTCCGTCAAGACCGGGAGGTCCTGGAGGTCCATCACGGCCGTCGAAGCCGGGAGGTCCTGAGAGTCCTTGTACGCCCTTTTCTCCTTTCTGGCCTGGTTTTCAGAGGAGACGAACAAGCATATATTCTCTAGCGCTTGCACCCACCGAACAACCACTTTCCTTTTATGGTGCAAGAACTTCACCTAAATTTATCACATTTGAACTACGATGCGGTCGTGTGTCACTTCAAATAGCATGATCGAGCGATTTAAGTACAAAAGGATTCCTAGTGGGATTTCTGAAGAGCCGACTTGAGACACACTATTTCATATAAATTATATCACTGACATCACAAACATGTCACACACAACAACCATCTCAACATAAAGCGGCGCACGCGTGTGTGTGTGTGGTGTGTGTGTGGTGTGTGTGTGTACGAATAACTGACAGGGCCAATCTATAGTTAAAGGAACTATAAAAATATCTATATGTGACATATTGGGCTTTGATGTGCATGAAACAAAGAATGTGTTATTTAGGGCAAAACAAAACAAGGTCATAGACTCACAAACAGCTTTATCTGTGAATTTGTGACAGGGTTTGGGAAGAAACTACATGAAGTATTCATCCCTGAAGCTACCCTTCTTTCTCTTGTAAATTCTGCACCACTTCCACAGCAGACTTCAACCACATCGTGTGGCGCTGCTATAAGCACTCGTAGAGGGAAAACTGTTCATAGTCTTTCGCATTCCAACACTCCTTTAACGCACCTCGGAGCTCCATACGTCAAAAGGACACTACAGAGCAAAACGATTTTTTGCGTATCAGTAAAGTACAATTTCATAATCATAAAAACATCACTCTTGCCACGACACGACACCTAATAATTGAGAAAATGCACGAAAAGAAAATGCTGGTGGAGACGCCATTTTGAGATTCCCACACCAAACGACGTGAAATACTAGGAAATTTTACACGCATCTACTGGGTACCCCGTAGCTTCCAATCAATAAAAATGAAGTACATTGTAATCTGTGGGTGCCATGGACTTAGAATACGAAGTTTAAGAAAATTCCATTGAGTAAGTGCCACGAAAATACCAAAAATACATTTTGAAGATATTATGCCACGCGTGGAGATTTTGGTACGAATTTAAAAATGAAACTTCAACCTTAATTTTCTCCGCTAATAATGAACATATGATAATGAAACATATAGTAATAAAGCTTTCAGAGTGCACTTTGTCTATTCAAATGAAGTCATTGTTCCTCTTCAGTGTCCTTTTAAGGCCTGACCACACGTACCCATTGTATGGCTAAAAACTTTATGGTGCACATGGATTATTTCACTGCTCATGGCACAGCTAGCATTGTTACCTTGATGAATGAATGTATAAGGCTGTACCCTTTAGATCAGCCGGCAGCTTGCGCCACCTAGCCATAAAGGTAAGTACCATCACTATGTGTTGAAGGATTGAATTTCACTCGCGCCTTGATTGTAGCCACCAATCAGTTGGCCTCCCCCTGGTTTTCTGCCCGTTTAAAGTCTGTTTTGCATTCACTGTCCCTAAACACCAATGCTTTGAAAAATCCAGCGCCATTATCTTGGGCTATAGAGTGGAGCCCTTCACAGAACATCATCAAATGTTCAGCCGTTTCCTTCTCCTCTCCACATGCACTGTACAACGTGTCTGTGCCTTCGTATTTGGCTCGGTACACCTTGGTCCACAATACTCCCATTCTGGCCTCAAACAGAAGAGAACTATTCCGATAATTATCGCAGATGTTTTCTTTTGCAATTTCCTGCTTGAAAGTTTGGGACGTCTCCAGTGATGATTTCGTAAGCATTTCAATCTTCCACATGTCCCTCTCTGTTTCCTTCACTTTCTTCTTAACCGATGTTTCTTTTTGGCTTGGTATTCTGCTGTTGTCTAAATACTTGTTTGACAATTTTTGAGTTTGCTTCCTACATTTAGTATCAACATTCCTTATTTACAAGTAGCTTAAAACTTTCCTAGCACAGGGCTCCTCTCCCATTTTTCCCAATCACTAAAATTTTGTCTTGATGTTAGCTTCCCTCCACTCAAACAATATCCATCCCATGTCACCCTCTACCCTTTGATCCCGGGTATTCCCGTGCACTCCCAAAGCAAGTCTACCTATGCCACGTTGTTTATTTTCCAATCTTGCTTGAACCTCTGATCTCATGCAGAACATTGCATTGCCGAACGTCAAACCCGGGACCATGACGCTTTTTATAATCCCTCTCACAACATCATACCTATTGTAGCTCCACAGTGCCCTATTTCTCATTACAGCTGCATTCCTGTTACCCTTTGTCATTAGACTAATTACGTATCTTTCGTGCTTCCTTAGGTACTCAGTCCCGTTGTTTATGCATATGCCCAAATATTTGTATTTATTCACTATTTCTAGCGTGAATTCCTGTATCTTATGCCTTCATTATCATTAATAATTATGGGTGCAGATTTTTCCCTACTGAAATTCAAATGTAACCTATCTCCCTCATTACCCCATATCTCTATTGATCCCTGCATATCTTTCTTGTTATCGGCTATTAATACTATATAATCTGCATGCATCAATGCTGGTAATGACTGTTCAATGTGTCTTCCTTGCTTGGCAAAAGAGAGGCTGAAGCCGGGTCGACTCCCCACGAATTTCGCTTCTGTATGGTTCCTGTAGCTACAGCATAAATAACAAAGGTGACAAGGGACATTTCTATCAAAGGCCATGTTGTATCTCTCTAGGTTTGGATACCTGTTCTTCCCATTGTATAACTACCTTGCTACTTTTAGAGATATCATTTAGACGGTTAGTTATTCCACCTTCCACTTTGAGTGTGTCCAGTACTCTCCACAAGTCTTCTTGAATCACACTATCGTAAGCGCCCTTGATATCTATAAATGCCAGCCACAGGAGCCTGTGTTCTTTTTCCGCCATTTCAATACACTGCATCAATGAAAACAGATTGTCTTCCAATCTTCTTCGTTTATGGAACCCATTTTGTAGTTCTCACAGCACCCCTTATTCTCCACCCATGTCTGTAGTCTTTCTTTTACTATCTGCATCACCAGCCTGTAAGCTACTGATGTCAGAGTTATAGGACGGTAGTTGTTTATATCGTCTTTGTCCCACTTTCCTCTATAGATCATGCTCATCCTGCTTAGTTTTCACTCAGTAGGGACTTCCCCATTCATTATTGCTTCGCTTGCTGCGTCTCTTAATGTTTGCTAAGAGTTTGGTCCTAGTTTCTTTATAAGCATAATTGAGATGCCATCAGGGCTTGTTGATGTGCTATTGGGAACCCTTTCTCTGCCCTTTCCCACTCTCATTGTCCCAGTGAAGTCAATGCGCTAATTGGTTCATCCTCATCCGGTATAGTGCATGCAGCACTTTCTTGGTGTTTAAAATTTTCTGTCATCATTGTTCTTATATATATCATTGCCTCATCCCCTTCTAGCCTAGCTCCTTGATTTGTAGTTATAAACCTCTGTTCTATGCTTGTATTATTACTCAGAGAATTGAGATGATTCCAAAACTTTTCAGCTGCCTATCCTTTTTGTTTACTTCCACCATTCATTGGGCCCCATTTCTTCAAATTTTTTCACTGATCAGATTGGACACTTCCCTTCTGCAGCTCAAAAAAGTTATCCCCCTTTTTTTACATCATCGTCTGGTTCACCCCTCTGTTTAGCATACCTGTGTTCCCTGGAGGCTTCCTGACGTCTTACTATGGCTTTCTTAACTTTCTTATTTCACCAGCTCTTAGGTTTGTCTCTCCTTTTCCCGGTTGATTGAACTCGTAACTTAGCAAGTTCTAAATCAAACAATCGAGTTAGATTTGTGCACGTCCACTCTGTTTTAGTATCCTTGGTGATTATTTCCTTAATATCTTCAGTTGCTGTTTCTATTTGCTTTTCTGAATAAATATTAGCTCGTGGTTGCTCTTAATGCCTCCTTCTCATTTTCATTTCTTTTCCGAAACTCAGCTTGATATGTTTGCAATCACTAGCTAAGCTTTTGAACCCAAATTCATCTAAGTTCATCTTCTTTAGCCGATCATGTATCCTGTGTGCCATCATTGCTTAATCTATCATTGAATGCAGCCTTCCCACCTCCCATCTTATCTGCCCTTTGCACTTCTCGGTACTGTTGTGAATGATTAAATCACGGCTTTCACATATATCCATTATTATTCTGCCTGTTGAGTCAGTATATCCATCTATATCTTCTATGTGTGCATTCATATCTCCTAATATAATTACCTTGCACTCTCCTTCTAGTTTATCAATGTCATGTTATATGCACTGCACCCTTTCTAGGTTTTCATCTCTGGCATTTGCCCCTGTCCACAAGTATACGAAACCCTGGAGCGCCATCTGTCCTGCCACTTCCCTTTTTAGCCATAAATGTTCCCTGCACTACTGCTCGACCCTTCGCCAGTTTGTACGTTTATGAATAAATGCCCCAATATCAGCCCCCCCCCCCCCCCTTTCGGCTGCCTTCTGTTTTATAACAATATTCCCATAATATTCCCATGCGTAGTCCAGATTGCTAGGTGGTTGTTCTATGTTTCTAAGATGTGATTCTACAAATTCGTATTCCATCAGCTTCTCCTCCCTTGGCTGCTCTTCTATCTCTCCCCACTTCAACCTATTCCTACCATCCTACATGGTAATAAACACTACGTCTGAATTTGCTCGGCCCTCGTGCCTATGTCGATTTCTCCCCGAACTCTACATGTCCCAGATATTGGTGCCACTTTGGAATCGTATCTGTCTATACTACCTGTAAAAGAGTCCCCCTGGTCGTTTTCCTCATTACTAGCTATCCTGGACTCCGAAGGCCCCCCCCCCCCCCCCCAAAAAAAAAAGCTACTGCGCGTCCTGCAAGTCACCAACCCATCTCATGACCTAGCCTCCTATCGAAGTGAACTCTGTCTCGTAAAAAACTATCCCACCTATGCACCTCTCTGTTTATTTCGCCTACCTCAAAGCCTTTATCTCTACTCATCTGCCTTATCTCTTTGTTTGCATTGATGACCACTTTTTGCGGGTTGGCGTTACGCACCGGTACTTCCGGTATCGTGCATACGACTACCTGTACCTGAGGGGAAATGGTGCGCATGTCATCGACCCCTTTCGCCAATGTGGTCGCTAGTCCTGCGGATTCTTCATTCAAGACATCGTTTAGACCACCCGCAATTATCACGAGGTTTCGTCCATTAGCTTTAGTTGTGAGTTTCGCGCACGCTTGCCTAACTGATTTTATCCTATGTCCTGAGAACGTCCCTATTGAAACCCTCTTGTCGCCTCTTACCCTCTCTTTTTCTGCGCATCGATTTAAATTCGAATCTCCTGTGATTGTTTCGTGCTGCGACTTTTTTGCTTGAGTATCCCGCACCTGGAAATTACTTGCGCTTGTATCGCCGGCTGCTTTGTCCCCTCCCACCACCAAAACTACTTCGCGGAAGCTGGGTCTTGGGACCATTGAACCGGTTGCACCTGTTTTTTCCGAATCTGTTTTCCCTTTCTTCTCCGCGATTCTGGGTGCCGGTACCCTACCGCTCTCGCCATCGGCTGCTTCTTTGTTCTCCTTCGCTAGTTGCTCCTCGGCTGACCTAAGCCTTTCTCACATTGTCTGCACTTGGGCTCAGCTTCCTCTGAATTCACATCGCACTACCCTCCATTTTCAAACCCACCCCGCATCCTGAACATTTAACCATTTTTTTCATCATGTCTTTTTTGGCAGTCTTTTTTACACGAATTTATCGATGTCCATGAGTAGCTGAATTGTCCCACTCTATAAATACAGTGCGTGTAGTAGGACAAATACTGCCCTAATTAAAAAAAGTCTAAGCTCTACTATAAAAATTTACGGGACCGGTGTACTTTGCACTCCCACCCCATGGTGGCAGGAGAAAAAACACACAAACAAGAAACATACCAGGTGACTGACCCCTAAACAGCCGTACAATGTAATAAGTGCAATAAAGGTTTCTACTACTGCCTTATCAATTAATAAAAACAAGCTCGAAGCATGTAAAAACACTTATCTGCGCAGTCAATCTGGAGCCCTTGCAAAGCACGTCCATCCGCCACTGAACCAACCCGCCAACAAAACCTGTGTGCCCCCTCTCTCTTTCTATAGGAAGAGGACGCGGCGACGCGTCAAAAAGCCACGCGCTGACTCACTGCCACTCATACATGTGGTCAGGCTTTTAGTAAGAGGTTTTTTGACATTGTAGTTATAAAAAGTATACTTCGCCTTAATCCTAATTCCACTTGTTGGTGACAAGTCGTAAAAACCTATACACATGGCTTGCACTTCAAAATAAGGCCACATTGCAATAACCAGTTCTGAACGTTGTGAAAGCTTTGTGCGGAACTAGGAGTAGATTGGAATCTTTACTACGTATAGGTCAACGACTCTGAAGTTGGCTCTAACCCCTCGTCATCATTATTTATGATTAGCAGTATGAAAATGTGGTGACTAATATACACGTTTTCAATAGACAAACATCGAATGCTGTTGCTTCGGTTATACTGTTATGTGGGCGTCAGCACGCCAGGGAAAAGCAGTTTTTTGATCATAAAATTATTTCCGAAATGGGACACGAAAGTTTCATCAAAATGAGGCATGCCTCATTCAACCACTGATATGCGTTCCACGTGCCAGGAAGTCATCATCAGTCGGAAAAGAACAGAAAAACCGCAGTATCGTCAGATTAGAGTGTATAGAAATAAATATGATACATGTTGAGAAAACGTTGAATGATATGCAAAAATACACCGCTCATAATTAAATGGCCTATTGGTATTTTATAAAAATAAGCTCGACAGCACTACGCGAAACCTCCCTACGCGAAATTCCCGCACAACTGACTATTTTGATAAAAAAAAGTACTTAAAAGCATCATCGTTCATGCTTAGCAGAGACGACGCACAGAAAACTGTGAAAGAACTCTAGGTATACATATAGAGCTGGGCCTATAGGTTTTCTGAAGCATCAGCGCCAGAAAATGAACGCTTACCTACTCCCGGCGGGATGACTAGTGTGTCGAAAATTGCCGGTTCACCCTTTTCTCCCCGTTCTCCATCCCGGCCTGGCCTGCCGGGAATACCCTGTAATAAAAAACAGTAAGATTGGTGGGCAAATTTGGGCTCTAGCTACCACGAGGCAAACAAGAGACGCCGTATTGTTTAGGACATGTTCAACTCAGCAGTATTAACTGTGGAGACGCAGGGCTAACAATGTTTCTAAAGTTCAGACGATGCAGAGACATTGGCTTGAATCATTGCTCTCTTTTTTTGCCACAAGGAGCCGCGCTTCGTAAGAACGGCGAGTTCACCTGCATAGAGCGCTTAAGCAGATTTTCTCCTTCGCAAGGCCACGCCTTTCTTTCTTAACCATTCTACGCAAGATCTAGCTTTCCCAAGCATGCCCGAAGAAGGAAACGTACTGTAGAGAATGAAACAAGGAATTTACAATGCTACAAAACTCTCAGAACTTTTACACAAATTTTTCTTTCGACAGTTTAAAAACAAATAGAGCTATATAAGCTGATGACTTCATTTGTGGGAGTACCGCTTTATTTCACACTTAGCTGTATTTTGATGCAGTTATCCTACTTTCCCGATAAGCTTCTTATGTACTCATAGAGGTGACGTACTTCACTGTATTGACAGCGGGAGCTGTTGATGCTTCGGCAAAACAGCATTATGGAACTTAATTATTCATTACAGCTGTATTAGAATCCATAAAGACACTTAAAATGGCCTATCATTCCTGTGGCAAATAACCAGGGTCTGAACAAACGGACAGAATTGCAAAAATAAAGCTGGATAGGCGGGAAAACGCCGCCTTCCATCATCTATCGAGCCCTTGCAAGGTGAGGAAGAGCTGCCTTGCTTGACGCGTGGTGGGGAAGTCAGCGTAATCTGCAGGTAAAGCGCACGACATAGGCCTATACACACCTCGGCGCCAGGTGGTCCTGGTGGTCCGGGTAGGCCGTCATCTCCGCGTTCTCCAGGGGCACCCTGAATTCCATCATGGCCTCTCGCTCCAGCCTGACCCGGTGCTCCATCACGACCACGCTCACCTTTCTCGCCCTTAGCGCCCGGCACGCAGGATGAGCAACTTCCTCCCTTCTCACCTACGGCCAGCCAAAAACACGACGAAGAATAGAATGAAATATTGGTCGTTACAGTGTCACCTAACAAACACCGAAGCTACAGATGTTGATGGAATGGGAAAAAACTTAAACAAAATTCGCGGAATACCACCACCGCTGGATACGATTCGCCATCTTGTAAAAAAACCAAATGTTTCCATGCGGATGAGGACACGTGTTATAATAGTACGTACCGCAATCTACAACCTCTCAGCAACATTGGCTAAGCGTTTGGTTCCACCAGGAAACAAATCAGGCCAGGTGTAAATGACGAATACCTTTGGAGCCTGGAGTTCCAGGTGTGCCAGGTGTACCGGGTAATCCGTCGTAGCCTTTATCTCCCTTAGGTCCAACGGGACCGGGTCGACCAGGAATTCCCTCCAGAGAGTCACCGGGGGCACCTGGGGTTAAACGGTGAGCTCTACATTATGCAGGAAATGATAAGTATGCGCAGTAATCGGCCATCGGGAGTACCAGCGATAATCTGACTAACACAACAATGGCAACACAAAACTAGGCAAACAAGCTCTCCTATTTAAAATTTTTTGGCGTAATAGAGTTGAGAAAATGAGCCACTAACTGTTAGAAAAGCAGAAAAAAAGCGCACATGAGGTCTAATGTGCGTTTTTTTTTTCATTTGCCCAAGTGACCTGCATCTGGGGTGACATATTTCCAGTAAACTACAAATTGTTCTAACAAGCAATTTGCGCAGTCCCAGTTATATTACATACAGAGCGTAACAGCGTGTATTATCATGAGTCTTTGTTCGTTAAGGTATTACTTTGGGCAGCCATAAAGAGTGCAGTTCATGATATATTTGCACCAAAATAGTTTTAACACTTTTGGGATGAAGTAGGCGCATCTCTATTAATGATCCCCGGCTGTCACTTTTTTTTTGTAGTCTACAGCCAATACAATATGTTACCGAGGAGCTAGTGCTATGCAACCAAACCACAAATGCAGAGACACACATCTATTACGAGCATTGATCGCTGTCTCAATGTCTATGCACACAAGGTTAAAGCTTTTTGCCCAACTTATACCCAGTGGACGTTAGACTGGGATTGACCGGTAACAAAGACCTAAAGCTAATGTAAGCCCCTCGTGTTCAAGCATGGTTGCTTCTGTGCTGCTGTCTGCATGTGCATGCCGTGAAGAGACCAAGCCAAATCAGAAATGAAATCTTTGTAACATCGCGCCAAAGTTGTTGACGTGATGTTAAGTATAAAAAAAAGTTTCAGTTTTACCACAAGGGTGAAGCAATGGATGCAATAGTAACAACTTGGAATGTAACGCGGAGAATGGCAAGGAGATCGAAAGGTGCAGCACGCTCATCACGCACAAATAACGCACAAAAACAACACACACAAGACGAGAGCCAACTAACAACGTTTACAGCTCGACATTTAGCACGCTGTCGAAACAAAAACGAGGCTCAAAACGTAAACACAGGTACAAATATGAGTGCGAACTAACAAGTGTCCCAGTTGTTACTTTGCTGTGTTTGAAAAGCGCGCTCTTTCCGCAAACGGGGCTTGCCCAGAGAGCGATGTGATCTTTGTGCGCTCGGCCACTAAACGCAATCATTCCGGTCAAAGCTGAAGGCGCGCAATTCTCCCCCACCACAACATAAGTGCGCAGATAAGGCCCCTTCCATCAACAGAGCAAAGCACGCATGGCAATTTTGGTCTGTCTGTCTGTCTGTCTGTCTGTCTGTGTGTTTGTCTGTCTGTAAATTTGTCTGTTTGTCCGCCATAACAATACCCCAAACGGCCTTAAACGATATCCCTAACGACCAACCCCATCTGCAGTGCCCACCAATATTGCTCAAGTTTCAGCCTTCATGCTTGTCGGATTGTCAATTAAAAAGCAATTATTGCGCACATCTGAGGCACCATAAGAACATGTCAATATTTTGTATGTGTGTTTTTATTCTATAGAAGACATACATAAATAATTCTAAGGGCCATTTCATTTATCACGCTGCACTAACGATGCAACACTATGCAGAAAAATGCAAGTGTTCCTAACGCTTTGCTAAGACGACATGTTGGTGGCACCTGCCCGTCGCTTTGAGTTCTACACCTTATCGCCTCCGAGACAGGCGCGCACGCCTTCCTTCGTTTTTGAAGATAACTGCCAGATAGCGCTCGTGTCTAACGTGCCTCGATGCACTCGTTTGCCTTCGCTGCATGGATCGAGACTCTCTAACGCAGCGCCCCCAGAATGCAATAATTCACCAAGTTTCTTACACATAATATCAAATAAACATTTTTTTCACTCTCTGCAGATGCAAAACTATCGTCTTTCGACGACAATTGCAGTGAAAAATGCAGATACGGGGCCAATTTTTTATTGTTTTTTTCTTGCATTTTCATATATGTAGATACGTATACATATACGATGATAGACGGGGACGCCTAAGCCTGCGGCAAAATTCAGTCGAGAGCGTCTATATAACCGCTATCGCAGTAAAACATAATGAAAGAAAAAGAAACAGAAGGAAATACACAACCACACAGCACTCTATTCATGCACTTTGACGTCACAGTTTGTCTATCAGTGCACAAACAATATGTTTGTGGCTGTTCAGAGCCGGCATACCGCGCTCTCCTTTAGGTCCCCTTTCTCCCTTGGCTCCAGGAAAGCCATCAAGACCATTGCTTCCATCCATGCCTTTGATACCCGGGTAGGAGATGCCGGGGACGCCCTTCGGACCAGGTTCACCCTTGGGACCTGGGGCTCCCGGGTAGCCTGTTGGGCCATCAAGACCAGGCAGGCCTGGAAGTCCGTTGTCACCCTTGTCACCCTTAGGTCCAGGTGGACCTTCGCGTCCTGGTATGCCGGGTAGGCCAGGTCCTCCGGGATCTCCCGGTAAACCACGAGGACCAAGGTCACCTGTGCAAAGGTAGAGGACACAGCATTAGTACATTTACTCACCGCATCACTGATGAGCAGGATGCCTGCCATCTGAGACATGTAGAAACAACATTGGTAGCACTTTCTCTTTAGATACAGTAACGCATGCTGTCTGCAGCCCCTTTCTGGCGGCTCTTTTCAGAATACGACACTTCATACCACAAGCGGCAGATTTAAAAAATGACCTAAGTAAATTATAACCAGAACGAAACAGTGATCATTATGGGCCACGTGGGTCTAGCGGAGCACCCATGTGCATACTAGAGATATAAAACACAATAGCTACACTTCGGCCGGCTTTTATCGGAAAATGTAAGCACAGTTATCTGTTTGGGTCGAAACGTACATCATTTTCAGAATATGCGACTAGTTTATCGATTGGGTTTACGCTTCCCACCATTCCCTACCTGCCCGAATTGGCAATGGTGGCCTATCTGCAACTTGCCGTAAGCAACAGATAATGAGCCAAGGAACTATAAGGGAACTATTCGACAGTTTAATTACAGTTTGGAAACGATAAGCTGAAAAAATGGGCAAAAACGACTTGCCGCTGGCAGGAGTCAAAAACGTGTACGTTCTACTGGCTGTTGTGCTACGACAGCAGCTGTCTGCCCTTTCAGATTTTTGAGCATTTGTGTGCGTAGAAGAGTTCACCCTATGAACGTTAGCTGCTGCCCTATCCCCCCCCCCCCCTCCTCAATCCTTACCTCCCATCCATGGTTTTGAATTTTTTGAATTGAATTTGAATTTTTATTCATCAATTGTGAACATGGAAAAGTGCATGGGTACAGATTCACTGGGAGGTCCCAAGGTAAGAACTGCAGGCGGGACCTCCCAAGAACCGCAGGCGGGACCACCCAGAACCGCAGGCGGGACCTCCCAGCTTTGCCAGCTTTACGAGCCGGCAACCATCCTATGCTACCCCAAGGTGTCAAACCAGCCGGAGTCAAGACCTTTGGGACGAAATGAATGCGAAGACAGGGCCCAACTCAAGAAGATGGATGGATGGATGAAAAACTTTTATTGGGGTCCTGAAGGATTCCACTCCCGTTTTATAGGAGTAGGATCGCGGGCCGCTCCCACGTTAGGACGGGGAGGCCCAGCCTCACCGCCACATCGTGGGCCTTCTGGACAGCCTTGAGTTGTTGTATGAGAACCGGAGTCGTGAGCATTAAATGAAAAGAGTTTTCAGAAAATTCTTCATTTTTTCTTTGTAAAGAAGGGCACCTCCACTGAAGAAGAAGAACAAGAATTTATTAGCGAAAAACACTTCGTTGCCGCTAAAACAAGGCAACGCCGCGTGGTCGGGCCCATATTCCAAGGCACCGCTGGCTCTCGCCATCCTTTCAGGCCTCCTGACTAGCCTCCGCTGGTCCTCGAGGGCGGGGCTGGACATTGCCTCCTACATCTCTCTGCTGTTGTCCTTTTTGTGTTCTTCGGTGTGTGCCGTACATTTCCACTTGATGTAGTAGAGCATCCGTGTGCTTCCACACCACGGGCCTATGTCTCTGTAGGCTGTTGGGTAGTACGTATGCAATCCGTGGATGTTTATGCATGTGTTTGTTTGGAGTCGGTCTAACGTCGCAGAATCTATGGCCGTAAGGTTCTTTTGTGGTGCTAGGTAATGCCTCCGCAAATCTCTGTAGTATTGCAGGATTGCTTTGTAACTAGGATCAATGGGTGTCGGGTCCTCCACGGTGTATCCATCGGCAGCTCGGTAATTAGTGAAACCTCGAGCCGCCTCATCTGCATAGAGGTTCCCAGTAACACCCTCGTGTCTCGGGGCCCAAATGATTGTCTGGGTATAGTGTACTTCCAGCAGTCTGCTACTTTGGGTGAGTATCCGGTGTGCCTCGGTGCCGATTTTCTATTTCTGATAATTTCTACATGCGGCCTGAGAATCTGTGATAATAGTCAGCACAGTGTTGTGCTTCATGCCTTCTCTTATCGCTAAGACAATCTCTTCTGCTTCTATGATATTTACTTGAGAAACAAAATCACAGGCTGTGATCTTGTGTTTACCACAACCACTACCATATTTTTTTGCGTTGGCCCAGTATGGCAAAGCATCCGTGAATCTCTAAATATTCAAGAATTGTTGTTTTGTCGACATACGCTGCTCGAGCCTTTTCTGCCCTGCTTTTAATGTTGGATCCATGTTTTCTGGTATTGGCGATACCCCATACAAATCTCTGATCTGGCATGGTAGTGTCTTGGTCTTTTGGTGTGTGCTTATACACCTTTCACGGCCGACTCTTTGAAGAAGACCTCTGCCTGCTGGATTTTGGGCCAATTGAGTCTTCTGCACTATGAATTGTGATTCAGCTAGCTCATCAAAGGTGTTGTGGAGGCCGAGAGATAGGAGCTTCTCATTAGAAATGTTGCACGGCACCCTCAATGCTGTCTTATACGCCATCCTTATAATTTAATCGGACTTGTCTTGTTCCTCCCTATTCAGGGCATGATAAAGGAGCGAGTGCCCAACTGAAGGGCCCAACTTTTATTATTCGCAGCTTTATGAAGCTTACAGATAAAGTGTACGGCGTTGACAGGCCACTTGAAACTTGAATCTTACCGGGGAATCCATCTTTTCCGGGTGGACCAGGTAGACCTGGCGCACCTTTAGGACCAGGAGGTCCAGCGGGACCGGCCATGCCTTGAGATCCCTGCGTTGCAATAACACCAACGCGGAGCGTTTTACAGATTGATGAGGCAGACTGATTTCGAAGCTAAGGATACAGCAAGAGAAAAAGAACGAGTTAGTGGCGTATACTTCATTTCTTATTCAAAAAGAAAATGAAGTCGCAGTGGCCGAAATCATGAGAGCGTTCATTTGTGCTATCGCGCATGTCATGTCTTGGCGTCGAGAGGCATCTGGCAAGCCCCCCCTCTCCCGTCCCTACATTGTATGACCTACGCTGTAATAAGCATAAATATTATTCCAATGACGAAAAATAATGTTCAAGTATTGGCTGTTCCTCGTCAGATAGATGCATATATTGTGCAGCCAATGTAAGTGTCTTGCTCTCTCCTCCTTCACAAACACACACAGTTCAGGGAAAGTTTTTGTACTGTATGAACACGATTAGCTGCAAAGTAAAACACACACACACATACACAGGGAAGAACTCGATGACAGGACGAGTGGCTTTAGGTTCTCTCGTCAAATTACGTTAATACGTGTTAGGTCAAATACGTTAAAACGTATTTTTGGTCTGTATGTGGCTTGCATATAGCACGATAGTTGAGGCCCTCTGCACGTGGTTTTCTAAGCAGCAGCTGCTGTAGGGTGATTTATTACTTACTCCTGGAAGACCAGGTGGTCCTGGCAGACCACGAGGACCTGGTTCACCGGGGACGCCGGGGTCACCTCGCAGGCCGCTTACGCCTTTCAAACCAGGAAGACCTTCATCTCCTCTGTCACCCTACATAATAGAGTGATAAAAGTGTAATTCATATCCCGTGAATTGTGTATTCACTGACGCAGAATCACGCCTGTCACCTTCTCTGAAAGGATAAATTGTGCTTCACCGGACGTACATATGCAATTGTACCTGTCGTGATTTTCCTAAAAATGATGAGAGCAGGACACGCAAAACAGCACGTGCTAGCACTGTGCTCATTACGAGATACAGTCTGAACATAGCCTTACGAAGGCGAAGCAACTGCAGTAAGTATAAGTAAAAATTCCCAGCATTTAGTTGTGCCGATAAAAGTGACGCTTCACTAAAAGCGCGTGCTGCGAGAATTTGAAAATGTGCAGGCACACTGAAGGCATAACCCTTCCGACTTATTAGTTAACTCACCACATAGTCATTTTGTAAGAAGCGCTTTATCGTTCGCATATTGTCTTATTAGGCTCGACAACCGTTAAACACTTCGGCTGTAAGTGAACTGAAGAGAAATGCACAACATAATTTAGCATGCATAGCAAACACATATCTCACACAGTTATAATGGGAGCACCTGGAACTAATGATTGTCACGTAACCTGATCCTGAAAAGCATGTCGGAAGCATGCCTTACCTTGAATCCTGCCGGCCCTACGGGACCTGGGTAGCCATCTTTGCCCTAGAATAAAAAGAAAAAAAAAGAAATTTGTATGAGTGCATTCTTAAGATGCGCGTGAAATAAGAGGAGCAATCACTCACCCTGGGACCGGGGTGGCCTGGCAAACCCTTTTCTCCTTTCATGCCAATGTCACCGTGTTTTCCCTGTTCAATGAAAGGTAATGCTTTACGAACCGTATCCACATCAAGGATCCCTCTTGAATATTACAAAAAAAAACAAGAATTATAATCCAATTCAGATAATGTAGGAGAAACATTGGGCAGTGTCTTCTTTCGAAATCGGTACTATGATAGTCAGCTATCTCAATATATGCGATATTGGCCATAGTACAGGGTCGCACTGCCCCATGCCGATGGTATATAGGCTCTTGCGTCTACAATAAAACTTGTTAAGATGGTATCAAGATGTGCAACTTTGTAACAGATTTCCATGTGGCAGTTATTTTCATGAATGCATAAACAGGTAATAGTATCACGAAATATTGTCGGCCATAATCCCATGGGAAAACATTGCAATATGCCATCACCCTGGGTTTCGTTGTTGAAGATGTGTGAAACGTTATATATATATAATCTAACAGACAATAATTCCAAGGAATGTATAGGGGAAGTTATTAGACCAATTGTAAAGTAAATGTGAAGAAAGAAAAGTTGGTGAAAAGATAACTTGTCGTGAGCAGGAACCGAACCTGCGACCTTCAAATAACGCGCTGAATGCTTTACCACTGAGTTACCACGGCGGCTATCCCCCCTGCCATTTTATTGGGTTTATATGTGAATTTAAACATGGGAGTGTCAGTCAGTGACACCTGTAGCCATGGAAATGAGTGTGGCACACTCTTTATGAGCCTGATTGGTGTCACGTAGCATGTGAACTTATTACGAGCTGGCAGCTGACCAATAGTCCCTCGTGTACAACCTAATGGCACCAAGTCTGCCACTACGAGACCCTCGTTAATGAATAAAGAAAAGAAGTGTATACTTAAGGGCTCGTTTTCCATGTTTTGACACAATAATAATGAGATCTCATTATTATTGTGTCAAAACATAGAAAAACAAGCCCATAAGTATACACTTCTTTGCTCTCTCTCTCTCTCTCTCTCTCTCTCTCTCTCTATATATATATATATATATATATATATATATATATATATATATATATATATATAGGCGAGAGATAAATCCAATGGTTCCGGTAGGAAATGCAGTCGAAAAAAGGAAGACGACAAACGTACGAAACGCAGTTTTTACTAACGTTTCGGCAGGTGGGCCTGCCTTCGTCGGAGTAAATGATGAGAGGCCGCGCAGGGCCTATTTGGGCGGCTGGCTCCAGTATCACGAGCATGCGTAATTTTTCGATTTTCATGCTAAGTTGCAGATCAAGAATACAAGTGAATCGATAGATGTGATTGTATGAAATACACGTGACATTTCACAATAGTCATATGGCATATCTTACATACATGGTAAATTGTGTGCATCGAAGCAGGTTTATAAGACAGCACTAAAAAATAAAAAATAAAATAAAATTGGATGAACAGAAACACGCGCTGCGCAGATTCATACAGGGTACCAAAGGACACATAATTCTTGCATGAGAACACAAATCTCTAAGGATAATCTATGAAATGAGCAAAATAAGAAGTGAATAAACAGAAAATTGAAAAGGCAAAGTTGATAAAAAATATATATAATAACTCAATACAAGAATTTTCAAAGGTATGCATGACATAGAAAGGAGACAATGTGTACGCAATAATACGAAAATAGCTGAACAAGCACGGCAGACATCCACCAGTCATTGTTAAGTGTATTAACGAACTAAGGCAACATGCTAGTAAGTGTTCCCGGGCTTTCGTTCATTCCGTTTGAGAGAGTTTGGAATTTATGAATAAGGAATGACTCTCTAATTTCGCGATCATGGTGTGTCTTGAAACCAGATTCAATTATTGTGGCTTGGATGTTACTGAAGGAATGACCTGTGTCGGTGACATGTCTTGAAATTGGTAAGTGAGGAAGGGCATGTACATGAGCTCTATGATTGTTGAATCGGTACCTAAAAGCAGTTTCAGTCTGACCGAGATACTGTAGATGACAAATTGAGCACTCCAGCAGATAAATGGCGTTCTGTGTGTCACAATCGAAATTGCCTCTGATATTTATTTTGAAATCAGTCGCTGTGCTGGTGACACAGGTTGTCGTAGTCATGTGAGCGCACACTTTGCAGCGAGGTTTTTTACAAGGATGGCAACCAACCCGTTGAGTGTTGTCATCACATTTGGTTTTAGACGAAGTTAACAAATCGCGTAGATTTTTGCCTCGTCTGTATACAACTCGTGGTGGTTGTGGAAAGGCTCTTGTAAGGCGTTCACTCTGCTGAAGGATGTTGTGGTGTTTTCGGAGAATACTTGTGACATTAGGCGCCGATGCATTGTGTGTTAAAACTAGGTTTACTTCTGAATGACTATTAAGATTTTTCTTGGTTTTGCAGAGCGCTGTGCGTTCTAATGCGTCGGCCCGCCTCACCGCATCATCGATTAACATAGCTGGATATTTCTGTTTAAGTAGAGCACTGCGTAGTTCTGTACAGTTGGCGTTAAAGTCGGACTGTTCGGAGCAAATTCGCTTAAAGCGTAACGCCTGGCTATATGGTATGCTCAATTTGCAATCCCTCTTGTGGCTACTTTCAAAATGTAAGTACCGGTGCCTGTCAGTGGGCTTGCGGTACAGTTTTGTGGTCAATTGCGTACCATGGATACATACTGTAACATCGAGGAAGTCAATGGTGCTTGGTGAGTATGAGTGTGAAAAGGATATGGAGGGATGAACATTGTTAAAAGCGGAAATAAAAGACAAAAGTGTCGCTTCTCCGTGTGGCCAAATTATGAAAATGTCGTCAATGAATCTCTTGTAGTAAAAGGGCTTCAACGAACGACTCGACAGGAAGTTGTTCTCGAGGATTCCCATGAAAATATTTGCGTAATTGGGCCCTATTTTTGTACCCATAGACGTACCGCTGACTTGGACATAATGCACTCCATTAAACTCAAAGTTATTGTATTGTAAAATCATTTGCAACAGTATAGCCAAAGTGGAGCTATCAATTGGCTTATCAAGAGTGGAGTGATCATAAGCCTCAGTCACGGCGCGTATCCCATCCAGGTGAGGTATGTTCGTGTAAAGAGATGCAACATCAAGAGTAACAAGAAGAGCGTTGATAGGTACAGTAAGGTTGTTGATGTCTGACAGAAAGTGGGTCGTATCACGTAAAAATGACTGGAACGTGGGAGGTATCTGGCTGATCAGGCTATCAACGTAACGCGATAAGCTTTCTGTTACGGTGCCTATGCCGGAAACAATTGGGCGACCAGGGTTATTTTGTTTATGAATTTTTGGTAACAGGTAGAATCTACCCGCGACTGGATCAAGAGGAATCAGGGAAGTTGCCTTATCACTTATTTTTTTATCCTTTATCAGTGCTTTGATTGTGCTACCTAACGTTTCTTTATATTGCGCAGTCGGATCAGCATCGAGTCGTTTGTAAAACGAACTGTTATTTAACTGGTTGTCAGCTTCAGCGATATATTTAATTGTGTCCATAACCACGACGGCGCCACCCTTGTCCGCAGGTTTGATTGTGATATCAATCCGTTCACATAGATCTGCCATAGCTTTCAGTTCTAGATTCGATAGGTTTTTCCGAAAAGAACGTCGCTTGTTATAAGCTTCAATGATATCTCGCGTGACCGCTTTAATAAATATGTCAAGGTGTTTGTCTCGTTGAGACGCAGGTGTCCAGCGTTTAAGCGACGGTAAAGCTGTTGGATCATCGGCCGGAGTCACTTGATCGAAGAAGTATTCATGCAATCTCATATTCCGTGCGAAGTTATCTAAATCTTTATACAACTGGAATTCATTGTAGCTGCCACTTGCAGGACAGAAACTTAAACCACGAGATAAAAGGCTTACTTGTTCTTTGGATAAAGTAGCGCTTGAAATATTGACAATGTTATCGGGAACAGGGGTGCGCGTGATTTCCCGGATTGGGGGTAGGGGCGTTGAAATGGGGCGTATTACACCGTCTCTAAGCAACTTCTTGCTTTTATGTGTATCGAGTACGCAGCGTTTCTTTTGTTCATACGTGTTTAAAGACGATGATTCCTCGGGAGATAGGCTATACTGATTGAGCAATTGTTGCTCCCTGTTTATCAAGGATTTCAGTGAAGACCGGTAGTGGTTTAGCACAATGCCTACTAGCTGAAGTGAAGCATTCTTTAGTGTTTCACGCCACTTCTTTGCATTGCACTCAGATAACTCTGATGTGGCAGGCTGCAGACAGAGACTTAAACCCCTAGGTGGAATAGACGCCACTAAATACGCTTCTAGAGTGGACACATGTAGCTCATAACGTATACGTTTTTCTACAGATTTTCTAATTTTTTGAAATTCTTTAGAACACTTCCAAGGCGCATCGTTGGACAACGAGCGCTGTAGTCAATTATTAGGTTTTCTCTTTAAAACGTCCGAGTATTGCTTTCGAAGAGGGTACCTGAATCCCGTAGAAGGAGTGGCCGCTTTTCCTGGGGCTTGCAGGGTAGACTCAGCTGGCGCCGTGTTTTTTTGGGCAGCGGAGGAGTGGTCTTTCTTGTTGCGGGACGCGCAAGCACGACCAGAAGCTTGCTGCTTGGTAGAAGTTGTAGACTTCAAATCGGCGAGCATGGTGCTGGTTCTTGACTCTGCCATAGACGGCTTGATGCCAGAAGAGCGAGTATTGGTACTCAGATTGTTATTCTTTGATTGCCTTGTGTCACGTTGCGTTTTTCGTGTATTCACGGCCTTTGATGTGGTCTGGTGGCTGATTCGCGTAGTCTGCCCATGAACGCACTCGGGCGAAGAAACACAGTCACTCCAACTCGTTGAGCTCGCCTCACCCGGGGAGTCGAAGCACAGCTGCCTGATGTGACTTGACATCAACGCGACGCCCTCAAAGCTCACGTGCAGTCCATCAGCGGCCAGTACACGCCCGGGTGGTAGCCACTCGAACATGTGGTCCAAAATAGACAAATGACTAAAGCCTTTGCAGAAACTCCGCAATAGGCTGTTGAAGTGGCTTGCCTCTCGGTTGAAACAGTGAACGAACACTG